AAAACCCGTTGTACGCCCCCCCCCCCAAATCTTAGGTCCTTCGCGCGGCCCCTGTGCATACCATAAATATTAGCATTGATTTGCTATTTATAGGTATTTACGGATATTGTTGATGCTTTCAATAATAAAATAGATATACAGTTTAATAGAACTCAGAATTACAAGTTAATGTTGCTTATACAATATATATATATATATGTATATCAACTTATTACAATGTCAGATGTTTATTTGAAGTTCACTTTGAGCTCTTTGTTGGTAGATCATCATGCGTTTGTATTTAGGAATGCAGAATCAATTGACATATGTAGAGTCATTTTCAATGTCAATTTATTAATTATTTTAATTACTTGGAAGATACATATAATAATTACTCTACGATAGAATGCAAATTTCTGTAATTGTGAAGATTCTGTGATGTATTCAAGAAACACAATCAATACTATTCAATATCAATGGGTAATCAGCTCTAAATTATGTATCTCTGATATACAAGAACATCACGTAGAAGTTGTGTCTGTAATTAAAGAAAGATAATCTTCCTTGCATTAATATTGTATATCAGTTGCATTTAATTCCTTACAATATGATTTACATCCAGTTCTAAGCATCGTTGTAAGATAATGTTATCTTATAAGTAGTAATGGGCCAGTAGTTTTGTTAAAGTTTAATCTGCAAGATGAATTTCTCTATAATTTACATCATGACGATTTCTTCATTAAATTCTGAGCTAAGCTAAAAATCAAAAATCCTCACGGTTTGGTAACTGAAATGAAGTACATTTATCATTGATTTTATTTATTCATGAGTACTTAAGAATTAAAATAAATTTTAATATTAGAATTTACCAGATAAAATAGGATTCATACAATATGAAAAGAAAATGACGATAATGAATCGAAATTTGCATAAAATAAGCGTCATCGGCAAATATTAAAGGTAGTTTGAACTTCTACAATATTAACGTTTAGTAGTCTTTATCATTTCTTTATTGTTCATGTTTTCAATAGATATTTCAAATGGTATTCTGAATGTCTCAGAGCAACGCACTTTTCGAACTGCATTTTCATCAAAAAATTTAAATAAAATAATTCACAACGAAATTTCATCGACGAAAGCGAATGTATCTAAAAAAGAACCACTATCGTGGAAAAATCATAGCAAGTGTACGAGACATAACTTCAGGTGTTCGTATACGATGACGCCTCAAAATTTACATGTTCCATTTTATTCATCAGAACAACTTCCTCGACATATATCATATATTGCAAAAAAACGAAATGTATCCATCAATAAATACAGGAATGATAAGAATATAAACGATAACAAAGATAACATCAAAACCTACATAATCGATAAATATTATATTTTGTAGCTCTATTCTCGGCCTGTCTATTTTTTCATAAATAAATAAGACTAAGATATGTGAGTGACAAAGACCCAAAACAATTAAAATAATCAGAATCAAATGTCGTTCAATCTTAATAACGATTGACAGAGTTAAATGTAATTATAATTGTTGATGTCAAGTAAGCTGAATGCATAAGAAATGTGCGTACTCAACACTACTACAGAACTGGTAATCTAGTGGCATAGTCATTTTTCAAAAACCAAAACAATTGGCTAAATATAATTTGTACAATAGAAATGCATGAGAATGTAAGATAATAATTAGTTATAACAAGATTTTGAAATTAACTTGAGTCAGTGAACATAATTATATCAAGTATATAATCAATAAGACTAGAAAACGATCATAGGTAGAAACGTAAACTGATAGATATTAGCAGTGATCTCATGAAGGCCATCAACCATTTGAATTGACCTATTTGATATTTTACATAAATGAAATTAAGTTAGTTTTTCTTTTTGTTTTTATCATCCAATATCTGTAATAAATATAGATGAAATCACGTTCCAAGTTTATCGCATCATGAAATGTTAGGGAAAAGAAGTTTTTTTCTTCTTCTAAAAAGTCAACTTGAATCACATTGAAGATGTGTTATAAAAGAGAACAAGTGATGAAAAAGCGCTCAGACTTTCGAATTCGGACTTATAAAGCAATACCACGTATTCTAACGCATCACATCTTATAATAATTTCTGTAAAAGAGATTGAACATAAGGTACTCGTTTCTTATATTTAACTAACTTTTAAAAAAACCAATCGTTACATAATAGATTATTTTGCTTTTTGAAAAAAATGATCGTTTTCATCCATTTAGTTTACTATTAGATATAGATATAATAACAATTCAATGTTTATATTTGGCAATAAGTTGAATCGTTGCAATAATATATTCGTGTTTATCGATAGTAAACGAAAACCCAATGTATTCTCGACGATAAAAATCTACTCCAAATGAATATCGTACAGTAATCTAAAGAATATGTACGGAAATTAAGGGCTGGTAAAAGCTTATCGATTTTTTTCCAATTAATAATTGCATCAAGAGATTGTATCGTTAAATAAAAGGAGACTCGTCATTTGTTTTGCTTAAAAATTGACCTTGATTAACTCATTTAAACGTGTTGCTTATAAATACAGTATACATCGTTTATGTAAAATATATAAATTAATTTTAAATTTTGAAATACAACATATGCAGAGAAAATGAGGGATTCTGATTTTTGTTACTACTTTAAACCTACCATTAAGTGTATTTGACAGATGATACGATTTTTCGTGTATCTAATGCATTTAGAAATAAATGTGGAAACTTCGGATTTCATCCGAAAGTTATGTGTACTGTAAAAAGTGCATGGGATATATGAGTCATTCTAGAATGTCTGAACACCAAAATTATCATGAGAAACTAGGCAATTTGATTTCTGGATGCAGTTTTTGTGCATTTTGAGACGTTTTTCAGGCGATGTTTCATCAGAAAGCTANGGCTTTCACCGGTCTCAAGAGGTGAAACGGTGACGGTGGAACGGTTTTTGATTGTCACCGTTGCATCCCTAGTTCGGTTGTATTGAAAGACAACACACAGAACTCATTTTGGACAAGAATAAACTCATCGTGTGGAATTGTTGTTAATATTATACACGCAGTGGCTAAAATATATAGCTGATACTGATCTACACTTTGTTGTCCATCATCCTATCAGGATATATACGCAATTCTATATATCTCGGTAGTTATTTGAAGAATATTTACGTGACCTGAATATTTTTCCGTTACAGTGACATATTTATTTTTTGTTTTGTTTTATGGTTGTACCAATATTTTAAACACAACTGAATTGAAATTTTTCGGAGATTCCTGAAAAAACTCGTAAATATAGACACTACCGCTCTTGAAACATTCCATTTACAACCCACCAAAGTTCGAGCAGCTTGGTCAGTCTTGAATTTTCAAAATGTAAAATCTTCTACTAACATGATTACTAATCAAGAATGAGTGTACATTTTTGTATCGACGAAAAATTTGCAAAGCAAAAAATATAACTTTTTTTATCTTTCCACTGTAAAGATACGGTCACTTCGTGACATATAGAGTTTGTAAGAATTCTTTTCGAAAAGAAAGAACACAGAAAAATAAATCTATGGTGAAATTTCTTATTAATTAGATGTATTATGTATCCTTGTTATGCACTTCGACTTCACTTGTATTGCACAATAACAGAAAAGAAGTGAATCATACTGTTTTGTATTTCATAATTACTATATATTTCTATTGTTATGTTTATTACATAGTATTTACTAACCTTTAAAATTACTCAACAGACTATTCGATAACGATATCGATATCGATATTACTGACTGCATAATTTCATTCTTATAACAATGGCTAATACTCCGATTCATTTTTATCGTCCTCATGAACCATTTGGTGAATTTAGCAATTTTTATTCTGCTTCAATCGAATTAGATGGATATGTTTGGCCAACTACTGAGCATTATTTTCAAGCACAAAAATACATTTCAGACGAAACACATTTTAAAAATGTTTTACAATTAGCTACTCCAAGAGAAGCATATAACTATGTGAGAACTTATAAATCTGCTGTTCGATCTGATTGGGCAAATGTAAAAGATGATATCATGTTTAAAGCATGCTTAGCAAAATTTCAACAACATCCAAAACTTAAAGAATTATTACTATCAACACAAGATTGTACTTTAGTAGAACATACAACAAATGATTTTTATTGGGGTGATGGAGGAGACGGATCAGGAAAAAACCAACTAGGAATAACTTTAATGAAAGTTAGAGATTATCTTAAAAAATAATCAACATTTTTAATATATTCATATATAAATTTCTTTCTTTTCATAAAACGTGTCTGTCCTACATAAAATGCTATTCTTCATTTTTTTCACATAAAATAATACATCATAAGACCAACAGCGTTTTGATAAAAGCCACGTGATTCATTATAAATATTCTACGCATAAAGGAATGTCATATTTTTTGTTTTGAATACTTCTTATCAGCAATACTAGTTTAAATGTCGACGTTACTAAATTTATTTGGTTAGATTATCACATTCTTTATGTCAGCACTATTATTTTTTTACTTTTTTGTTTTTAAAAATGATCATTAGATACAGCACTCGAGATGGAATATAATCTTTTTTTTTCTCTTTCAATAAGAAATACAATCAGTCCAAACATTTCTTGAATCTAATGAATGTAATTTAAGTATTATGTTATCTTTTTGCTCTCATGTCGAGAAAAAAAATACTTTATTAATTTGTTGTAAATAATGTATCAATGAGTTTACTTGTTAGAACATGTTTATACTCAGCTTTAGAATTAGAGATAAATAATATTATGAAATTCGAACACATTCACCTTCTAAACATAATAAAGGATTTGATTGACGAAAATAAAAAGAATAAATTGATAACTCTTGTGTAAAATTTAAGTAATGAACAAGCTTGTAGATTGAATACAAGCACAATTTTCAAATTTGATGATGTTACATGTTTGAATAAATCATCATGAACAAGTATTTCTAGAAGTTATTTATCAACACGAAATAATTTATTGAAAAAACAATTTGCTGCTAATATATGAGTACATTATTTCGTTGTAAAACAACTCTTGTTTTTATGAAAAACTCTATTCAGCATTCATACGAAAAAACTTGTCCAGATCTAATTTGGCTAAGCAATAAAATGTGTATGACAGAAATAATTCAAGGGATTTACTTGCAAGAATTTGATTGTATAATGTTTCAGCTTACATATAATTGATTGCATCGAAGAAAATCATAAGGCAAAATCGTAGATATGAGAGATTGCATCAAAGTTCTAAATAGGGATTATTCTTGCTTTTAAAATGAAAAATTCTCGAAGTTTCATTCGAAGAGTAATTAGTAAGTGTCTATTGGACATTCTATTTAAATGCGTAATACAAATAGATTAACGAAAGAGAAAATAACATTTATCAAACTGCTTTCTGTCGAATATATGTTCTCAAAGCATACAGAATGCAATCTCATGAATAGTGATACTTGTTTTTCTGTGTATTCAAGGTCATATTCTTACTGTAAGCGAGGTTTTCTGTTGATAAAATATGTCAAAGAACAAAATATCGTCTTTTGATTTTATCACATGACAATACTTCTATTTTGCGTATTTATTTTTCAAACAGAAGCCACAGAAGCAGATAAGAGAAAACTACCTGAATTGACCTATGCCACATGCAAAAAGTCAATATAGTATACCACTGAAACAGAAGAAAGCAAAAAACACGAGTAAGCGTTTTTCCTTCAAGATTATCGTGTAGCCATATGCATAAGAAACAAAAAAAGAAGAAACGCTTTACTTTAGTAGTTCAGTTATAATTATTTTAGAACAACTAGATCATCTTTGTAATCAATATTATGTAGATATCATTCTATTCGTCAGAAAGGAAAAAAGTACATCTAAGTACAGCAGACCTTCCACTATTTTTACGACGCATATCATGTTGTACATCATGTGTCCTGAAGTCATGTGACCTAAATATCGACTTATCTTCTTTCCGTTCTTTCTTTTCGTCGCCTATATTAATGTTATCCATTCTATTTTTCCTTTTATTTTGGTAACAAATACCATTACTACACAACTATACAAACTGTTACTATATCAATGAAAGACAAGACTCTCATCAGCAGTTACAATGCATGGAATTTTTGTATATTTTCCTAGTTATAAAGATCATTCTGTTATTTCTTCGTTTTTATTTATGTATATACACATTATTTTGTACTACTGTAGAAAAGGAAAAAAGCGAATGATCATTTAATTTTATATTAGATTCAATTCATTGTATTCATGAGCAAAAACGAAAATCTCCTGTATTTAATCTAATTTTTATTCTTAAATTTTGACTATTTTTTTTTAGATATTCATTCATTTCTTCTTTTTTCTTTCTATTTGAATTTCAAACAGTTGAAACATGATTGATTTTCAAACGTATTTGAAACATGGTTTATTATTCGATGACAATAAAAAACAAGCCTTAAGAAATTATAAATATGCTTCAGAAGATCAATCTTTCTTAGCTCCCTGTATGTATAAAGTATGGGCTTTGTTCTTTGTCTTAGTTCCAAAAAGAATTTCTCCAAATTTGATCACACTTTTTGGTTTAACAATCGTTTTACTTGCTTTTACAGCTATTCATATAAATAGGCGAGATGATGATGATGGTTTGAATTGTTTAATATATGGAATAGCTTTATTTATTTATCAAACATCGGATGCACTTGATGGAATGCAAGGTAAAAGGGTTCATATGTATGAAAATGCGACTACTGAAGTAAGTTTTGATATTAGAAAACAACTTTAAAAAGAAGATATTAAAAATTCGAGCTTTTGTAGATATTTGATCATGGTGTTGATTCCATTGTAACAAGTTTAACAAGTATTGCAACAATCACAAAATTAACTCATATAGATAAACATCTTTCACCGATTTTTTCAGTATTTGTCTTATTAACATCATTTATTGGTTTTCATTCTCCAACTTATGAACATGTTGTTACACGAAAAATGAGATTTCAATCTGGACCATGCAATCCAACAGAAGCATTAATTGGCATGCAATTAATATTCTTAATCACAGCTATTTATCCATCATTGTGGACTTACGAAAAGTCGAAATTATTCTTGATGCTAACTATTGTACCAATTTTATCATTTTCAGCTATTTTATCTTTTATATCATCATTAAAACAAATACATATCTATCATAAAGGTGTTATGAGTATGACCTTAAAATCTGTATTTCGTGGATATTCTCCTCTTTTATTTGTTATTATTTGTGCATTTCTATATTTACCTCAAGTGTCTATATTATATAAAAAGCATTCGTTAATGTGCTTATTGGCAATAGCTATTCCATGGAATTATTCAATCTATCGAACAATAATAACTGAAATAACTAATGATAAGAATTTCGATACATTTGGAGTAATACTTGGTCAAAGTCCAATATTATTTTCAATAGTTGCTGCATATTTTATTCCATCATTAGTAATGATAACATTAATTATATCAATTCTATTGAATGGAGTTTTCTATATATATACAGTTCATTTTACGTTGAAAGAAGTATGTCATGCATTATCAATGAAACATTTTTGGACTGTTAAAACAGATTTTCAAACGAAAAAATAAACATAATGATAGAGAAAAGGAAACTTGTCAGCTTTTTGTAATATAATTTTTTGTTTGTAAATAAACTTCTCTACTCTATTTTATATCTATATAAATCCTACTCGAACAATAGAGTATATGTTGATAATAAAGAGACAGAAAGAATCATTGTATTATATACAACCTTATGTAGTAATTACTGTGTTGTTTTTTTTTATTCAGAAATAGTTTAGTTGGTAACGAATGAATATAGTAATTAACTTACGTTTTCTCTAGATAAAATTATCTGTCTTACTGTAAACGAAATAAAAATAACATTTCAGGTATTAATGTCTACATAGAAATATATCGAGTCTAACGTAAATCATTTTCTACCATTCTTTTGAATATAAATTCCTTGAGTTTAGATATGATTCAATAATAACTAAGCATAAGCACATCACAAAAAAGGAGTGCATATATAGTTTCTTCTGTTTTTTGTGTACTCAAAAAGTGAGTACACTCTAGAATCGGTCAGTGTGTCTGGCCGTAGGCACGATAACTTTTGAAAGGAGAGTCAGACCGTGATGAAATTTTCCACACCGTTCAATCTCATGAATATCTCAGTCGAGTTCGAAGATGAGAAGAATCCCTCAAGAAATGGTTGAGTTATCGAAAAAATTGTCATTTTTGACCAGGCCATCCCTGAGGAGGAATACAGGGAATTGTTTTTCAAAAAAGAAATCTTTCTCAGAATTATTCACAACATATATAAATCGACCCATGCACCTTTTGCAGTACACATAACTTTCGGATGAAATCCGAAGTTCCCAAATTTATTTTTAAATGCATTAGATAAACGAAAAATCGTATCATCTGTCAAATACACTTAATGGTAGGTTTAAAGTAGTAACAAAAATCAGAATCCCTCATTTTCTCTGTATATGTTTTATTTCAAAATTTGAAATTAATTTATATATTTTACATGAACGATGTATATTGTATTTCTAAGCAACGCGTTTAACTGTGTTAATCAAGGTCAATTTTTAAGCAAAACAAATGACGAGTCTCCTTTTATTTAACG